GCAGCGGGCACGCAGTGTGTTTTGTTTCGGTAGCGGCGGCGGTGTGCCCGCCTGGGCAAATAGCACAGCCGAATTTAAACAGAACCGGGGTCATGTTACGACCGCAAAAGTCGTAATTTGCCCAAAAGGCAGGAACTGGCTCTGGTGACGCAAGCGAGGACGAGGTTTTGTTTCGTCTCCTCCGAACAACGCTGCCCAGCTACTGAGCGACGTTAATTGCTATTCTTGCACCATGTTCCTCTGAGTAATCAGTTAATAAGGAACTGTAGGTCGGGGCTCGGTTGGGGGGGGGGGGGGTTCGCCTCTTAGGGAAATAGTTGAGGTTCTTGGTGAGAAAGTTGTAGGAGCGTGAACGCAGGCTCAGCCGCCCTGATTTCTGCACGTGCGGAAGGCGTTGAAATGCAGACCGAGGCTGAAGCTGTGAAAAGCTAGCCGCGCTCCCGTGCAAGACCTGCCAGGGTGCTCGGTGGTGCAGTGCCGCAGGCAGAAACGTCTCGGTTTCTGGCTCCTGCTTTATGGGGTCGCTGTAGGACTCCAGAGAGAGGCAAGGGCTGGAGGGAGCTGCAGTGCTTTTTACTAAAGCAACTGGTAGAGTTGATCACACAGGCCCAGACATGTGTTCTCAAGATTTTTTTTTTTTTTTCCAATTCTCCCTCAGGGTTCAGGAGATACGGCCAGATGTTAAGGAATGTGCAAATTTGTTCCCTTTAATAATCACGAATTGGGCTGTGACCAAAAAGTGTCAGAAATAAAAAATCCCCTCCCTATTTTAACAGTTCCCTTACAGAAACACTGCTTAGCAACTGAGACAGTTTGCCAGATCTGAAATAGTACAACTGTTCCAGCAAGTTTCAGCCTAACGTGTTTAAAAAGTGCAGCATTATAAACCCTTGCAAAAGGTGCATATCTTCTATAAAAGAATTCACAGGCTCCAAACAAGAGTTAGATCTTATTTCTATGACCGCCAGATGCTTGAATTTGAGCTCTGATAACCTTTAGACTTGCAAAAGTTGATTCAAACATAAAAACGATAAGAGATTTTATTGTTTCTCAGGAGGAGTACGGTGCCGAGGCAGACTGCTGGGGCACAGCGGGTCCGGTCCGGCAGTCCGATACGCGGCTGAAACGCAGCGTAGCCCCGCTGATGCCGGGAGGTGGCTGGTTTTGGACCCCAGAAGGGGTTGCCACCAGCCCGTAAACACCAGCGTGCTGCAAGTTACTCAGTGTGGGAACTTTGGGGCCTGCCAAGTTTTAAAGTGATCTACAAAGCTGGCGTTTTCATATAGAGAAAATAATCCTGTCCATCAAACCTTTTTAAAACTGGGTCCTCCGTGGGGGCGGGGGAGGGAAGGAAGGTGAAGCGCGGGGCTTACTCAGGCCGAGCGGAACAAAGCCTCGTTTTGCTTTTGAAGAATCTGGGTGCCTCGAGGCTAAACCCCGCTTCGCGCAAGCCGCGACAGCTCGGGAGGCGTTTCGCTCATGTCTGGACATCTGTCCTGCAAACACAGAGCTCCCTGCTCCCCCTCCCCTCCCGGTCGGTGGATATGCGCAGGAGGATTTCACTTAAAAGCCAAAAAGGGGGAAAAAAAAAGTTGCCTGTCTCCTTTTTCTGAAGAAAAGTATAGCAAGGGACTGGATTCAATAAACCGAAAGGTGCCTTCCGGTGTTATGTTCCCTTCTGGAAAAGACAGCACCGAAAATGTGAACTGATAAAATCTGTCACTAAGCATCGAAAGAATGAGGAGTCGGATCTCTTGAGAGCGATGTTTTTCACGGGATGCAATTGTGTCACATAGAATAGCTGACGAGGAACAGGGGAAAACTGCCTTACCAGAAACGCTAATGAATATGTCAGGGAAAAAAAAAAAACCCTATCAACGTGTGGCCTAATCCTTTATTCCTATCATCTCTGCTAAAGGCTGCGTTGTGCTTTGGCCACGTTCCCCATAGCAACCGTGGGAGCCTTTTTGGCTGCGAGGGAGAGGGCTCGCCTTGTGTTTCGACCCTGGCGGGCCAGGCGGGTGGAAATCACACGTCTGCATTGCCTGAGGACGAATGACTCTTCCTCCTACCCGGGGGAGAGGGGAGCAGGTCGGGTGCACTTTCGCCTCTGCATTGCGCAGAGCCGCTATGGCAAGCGGGGGGCTCCCGGTACCGGGGGCAACTCAGACGCCGGTATTTGTTTGTTTTCTGCTTGCATTTGCCTTGCTTTCTGTTTGCGTTTGCCGGCCGGCCAGCCAGCCGGGGGTTTCCTCCTGCACACTTCAGACACACGACTTAGCACCGTGCAGGTGCAGGCTTGAGCCCACAACTGCCTAGGAAAGTAACTCTTTTGAGGGACTTAGTCAAATCTGCCTGAGCCTGAGCTCAATTAGGGCAGCTAAAACCTAAACTGAGTTTCAGGATCTAACCGGCTTCCTTTTAACAGGCCGAGGCAATGCAGGTTTTAAAAATGGGGACTGCCCAGTGCAGAGGAGCCACGCGAGCAGCAGAGGCAGCCGCTTGTGCGAAGAGACCATAGGGGCGGGCACGAGAACCTGCAGCGTCTCTTGCCCTTCATGGTAGAGAAACCTCAAACAAAGAGCAGTGTTGGGTTTGCTTCCCTTATTTGGCTTCAGCGAATGAAAAATTTCAAACACAACCAAGAAGATGTCTCTCAGGGCAGGGCTTGTTTCTGCCAGGAGAAGGGAGCTAAAATGACTGGAAACCTGAGCCCGGAGTGGCTCACTTTGGCACGTGGCACCCTCCCTCAGCTCAGGCTTTGCATCGAGTTTGGATCGCTTTATGATGGTAAATTCTTCTTGTCCTCAGGGCTGGGCTGGGAAAGGAGATTTAAATAATCCAATAACTGAGTGTCAAAGAGGATAATTTCACAGATTCTCAAAGCAGCTTCTCGCAGAAGAGCTTGCTGAATTTGCCTTTTCACCATTTGGGGTCAGGAAGGCAATTCCTAATTGTGATATCTGTGGTCAAGGAACGAGGTCAGACACAAGACTTGGATGAGACTGTCAACAACATTTTACCGTGGGCTCCAGGGCTGTCCGGGTGCAAAGCTGCAAATTCCCAGGTTCCAGAGCTATCAATCCAAGCAAACAATTCAGGAGTTCAATACTTTTTCCTTCCTGCTCCTGGGATGTCACACTGGCTTCAAAGTGCTTTTGGAAATGAAGTTAGAAGCAATCTTAAGGGCCACTGCTAAAAACAAGCGCCAGCAGCAACGTGAGTATTACATGGAGTGGGGGTATGTGAATGTTGCACTGCTTACATTCAAAATGGGGAGAGTCCAATGTTAAAATTAAGACCCACAAAGGTGGTACTGAACAACAGATTCACTGAATCCATATGTGTGTGTACTGAGAGAATTGCAAAAAGCAACCAGAACAGGTAAATAGGGTAGAAGCATAAATCCCACTGCTTCACCCACAGGAGGAATCTGTGATATAAGCAGGACAAAGAGCCATCAAAAAGGAAGTTACACCTCACTCTCGTACCTTTTCCCTTCTCCTCTCACCAAAGGATGTGAAGTCAAGGCAAGCTCCTATCCAGCGTACCAGAGACTTAACTAATATCTATTGTTTTTTTTTTTTCTGCAAACATACCAAGATGAGGTTCTTCAGATCTCTAGGAAACAAACGCTTTGGTGGGACAGAAATATTTTGGAATAGATGT